TATAAATAAATTTAATAAAATAAAAAAATATATTTTTTATATTTTTATATTAATAAAATTTATAACACGTAATTTTCATATAAAACACAACATAAATACATAAATTATTAATATTTTACATAACACAAATATATGAATTATCAAATCTAGTGAGAGAGATTGATCAGCAACTGTCAATCATTGTTGTTTGGACCCTTCCCTCTTCTCCCTTTTTCCTTCATCCATTGCTCATTTTTAAAAATGATAATGGGATGGGTTTTAGTTGGATTCGATTTCAATTCGATTTTTTAATATTTATGTTTGAATTTGATTTAATTGAATATTAAAATATTATTTTTATATTTGATTTAATATGTATATTCATAAATTATAATCGATTGGAATCGAAATTAATTTAATAATTTAATTTAGTATAATATAAAATATTTTAAAATAAATTTTATTTTAACTATATATAAATATAACATTTTATTAAATTAATATATTAAATAATAATTTTATTAATATAATAGATAGATATAAACATAAAATTAAATAAATAATAAAAATATATTTTGATATATATCTAAGTCAGATCATGATGCCACCTAAAGCCTAACTCCGATCCAAACTCAATCTTAAAGAAAAAACCCAATCTGATCTTTTATTTTAAAAAAATTTGAGTCCATTAAATTGAAACTAATCAAAATCTATCAAGTATATAATATTTTGTAATCCCTAAAGATTTTGGTCTTCCCTTTTTCTCTCTTTCAAATTTTTTTTTTCATTTATACCACATCATCAATCCACATGTATATTATTTTTGACGTCAACATGTTTTATGTTGTGGTAGTTATGCTACGTTACGACAATTGAATTTTTTTTTTTTGTGATTTTAAAAGTTTATTATTATATTTATCGTAAAATAAAAAAATTATAAATTTATTTACATGTAATAAAAAATAAAAAAATTAATTATATTTTGTGCTAAAAGTGAAGATACATTTGAATATTAAACTTAAAAATAAAACAAACTCTAAAGAAACTACGAATATTAGTTAAGATGTAAATGATATATTAATATTAGATTTGACAATTCGTGTTTTGTATCGTGTCTCACATCAGATTTGAAATGTGTAATTACACAAATTATTAAAATACAAATACGATACAAATTATAAAATATGTTTAAATCCTAAATATAACATGACATGTTTAATATATGTTTACATACGACATAATACGATTAACACATATACAATTAATTTATTTAAACACAATATAAATAATATAGATATATACAAATAGACACGATAAATATGGATATACACGAATATATATAACTAACATAAATATATACAAAAATACGACTAAAATAATAAATAACCATAAACTATCGATAATTTACAATTTAATAAATTTGACATTAATAATATAAAAAAATACTTACATATTAAAAAAATTTCTAATACTCATTTAATATATAATTAATATATATTTAAATTTAAATTTATATTACATAACTATATTGATTTTTAGTATCAAATTTAAAATGATAAACTATTAAAGATTACAGAATAAAATAATAATATATATGATTAATATTAATATTAATATTGTATATATATTCTTACTATAAAAAATAATTTTATAATAATTATTAAATGAGTATCATAATTAAATATTTAAAATAATTTTTATGTAATATTAAATAACTAATTAAGTATAATAATTAAAAGATTAAAAATTAAAATAATCTTTAAAGGTTTATATTAAATTCAAATAAATATAAAAAATATATTAAATGTATTAAATATATTAAACGTGTACTTAGATGATAAGATTAAATTAAATATATTATTTGTGTTATGTTTCGTGTTTAGACGAGTCAACACATATGTAACACAAATTATATGGTGTCGACACAAATAAACACGAAACATATTTTTTTAAAATATATATATGATTTTTTTGTGTCATTTTGTGTTGTATTAGCGTGTCGTATCTAAAATTATCAGGTCTAATTAATGTTCATAAGTTATTCAGATTCGGTTCAAATAAAATTCAAAATTAACTCGATTATTGTTGAATCAAGTAGCTCGACTCATTGATTGGGTTGAGTTGGAGTATTTTAATACCCAATTCGAGTAGCTTACGAGCTTAATTAAGTTTTGAAATTTGAATATATTTTTATTAATTTAATTAAATATTAAATATTTATCTTTATATATATATATATCAATTTGAGTTCAAATTTAAGTTCAAACACATAATCAAATTTAAAATCAAATATAAAAATTGAATTCATTCTTATTAACGAATCTAATTAAGTAAATTCGAATAACTCAATTTTTAATTTAACTTAAGTTCGAACTTAAAAATTTAATTTAATTAAATTTGAATCGAATTTCGAATAATAAATTTTTTATCAAGCTTGAATTTAAATTTTTTACTGTAATTGTCATAATGATTTTGTGTCTATATGACGAATTTGGAAACGAAATAAAAAATAACAGAGTTACCACCAATCTTTTTTGGCTAAGTGCGATTGGTCACCTATTAAAACATATCCTTTTAATAAAATATTAAAATTAATTAAAATATATTAAAAAGATATTTTTATGGTCTGCGAAACGGTTTGGGTTCGAAAATCGATTATACGTGAGGAATGATTTGTATCCTCATAATGATTTGTATCCCCATAATTTTAATAAAATATTAAAATTAATTAAAATATATTAAAAAGATATTTTTATGGTCTGCGAAACGACTTGGGTTCGGAAGTCGATTATACGTGAGGAATGATTTGTATCCCCATAACGATCATTTAAAAATGATACCACTTAACTATGTGTTATCATTTAATTTTGATAAAAAAGTCTCATTTTCGATGTTCGAAAAATAATTTTCTTGATTTTTTCATTTATTAGAAATTAGTTATTTTTTAATTTTATTTTTTTAGTGCTCAAATTTTATTCGAGAAAAATAAATTAGAACCCTTTTTACCGAAATAATTCTTAAAATATTTCAGTACATTGACAACAATAGAATAACATTTTTTCACCTAAATATTTTTTAGGCATCACTTCTCGAAATACCTTAGAATCTCATCCTTGAAGGCTCAATTTTACTTTTCGTAAAAAATTTTATTATGCATACAATGCAAAATGCTAATATGTTAATGCATGTATTTTATTCTCTTTTTTAGAAATTTTATTGATTTTTATTAATCTTTTTCATTTAATCGAAGAAAATATGAATTTTATTATATTAAATATTTTCTATAAACATTCCAATACACTGGTATTATTAAAAAAAATATTCTCACTTAGAAATTTCTTAAAGCATCTATACTCGAAATACTTTTAGAATCTCATCCTTCGATAAAATTTTTTTTTCTTATTTATTTTTTATTGTTTTATTAATTTATTGGTTAATTTAATTTATTATTTTATAATTAAAAAATTATTATATTGAAAACTTTTTTATAAATACTCAAATACACTAGTAGTATTTAAAAAAAATTTCACCTAAAAATTTTATAGACATTATTATTCGGAGTACCTTTAAATCTCATCGTCGGATAAAATTTTTATTTTTTTATTTATTTTATTATTATTTTATAAGATTTATTTTAAAAAATAACAAAATTATCACAAATTTTTACTATATATTTTATTATTTATTTTTATTAATAATTATTATAAAACAATAAAAATTTATTCAGTAAATTTAACCATTTCAAACATGCATAAATATTAATAATAAAAATTTAACGTAACAAAAATAATATTAAAAATTAAAAAAAAATTTCACTTGAACTGAACCAGTCAACGATCCGATTAACTTCGATGCGAGCTGTTGGACGATCTGATCGCATTCAGTGGTTTGAAGCCGGTTCAGATCGATCTGGATCGATTCAGCACTGATCGAACTAAACAGGTCTAGGGAGAGGGGAGCCAAGTTTTCAGGTCGATTGTGTAGACCCCAAGTTAGGTCGATAGGTTGACGTGCGGATCCTGAGCTTAAAACGACGTCATTTTGGTCTTTTAATGAAATGACGTCTTTTTGGCCTTTAGGGGTTTCTATAAAAGCTCAATTTTTTTTTTCAGTTCATTTCCTTTTCTCCCTTTTAAAAAATCTCTCTCTCCTTCTTTTCAAACAGGTTAGAGGTTGGTGACTATCCATCCTGAAGGTCGTTGTGGTTCTTATCGAAGGTGAACTCCAACCGTCGTGTCGATCGTTGAAAATTTTTGAAATTCACCCAAAAACTCTTCTCGACCCCCTTAACATAGATCCGACCTTTTTTTCACCAAAAAGAGTCTTCAGTTCCCTAGATATGCTTTCTAACTTTCAGCTAAAATCTTCTCTTTTTTTTTATATTCTGATTTATTTTTTGTTGTAACTGATTTTGATTTTTTTTGCAGGTTTTTTCGACGTTGGGTTCCCCGTTCCAAGGACTGTGTTTTTTTATTTTTTATTTGGTAAAGTATTTTTTTTTAGGGTCTCCTTCTTTTTTCCTTTGTCCTATTAATGTTTTTGTAGCTTTATTTATAGAGCAAAAGGAAGATTAAAATTTTAAAAAATTTGAAATTTTGATTATCTAAGATTAAGGTGACCACCGACTGTCAAAACAATTGTCGGTGACTATTAGAGCAGTTGGCAGTTACAAACGATTGTCAGAACTGCTAGCAGTGCCACTATAGCCGACCGATAACAAATTGTTAGAAGAAAAAAAAGAAAAAAAAAATAAAATGCTGTCTACAGTATTGATTGAGTGTGACTGATTACATTGCTAATATTACTAATATTTATTTGTAATATTCTCCGATTAACCTAATAAAGAAAGGGGAAATTTTATTTAAAAAAAAAAAAGAAAAAGTGAAAACTTAATGTAAAAAACCACCGATAATCGGCCCACAAATTTCCTCACAACATAGGTCCCACCCACACCCCCAAAATGTGGGCCCTCTACTTCCAAGATACCTCCAAAACAAAATCTCAACCCTTGGATTTACATAAACGAGAACCAAACAAGATCAGAGTCGTCCATTAAATCCGATCTCCATTATCGGCCCTTTTCTGACATTCTTCAGTCTGACGTGGCACTTAATTAACTGCATTTGAAATCCGTGTTTCAAGTCCGGAACTTTGAAAATATTGAAGCTCATTTGTCCCAGAAATTAAAAAATAAAAAAAAAAACTCACTAAACACTCTGCTTTCGGTCAACTTTTGAATGGTAACAACGAGCTCGTAAATCACAGTAAGTTTCTCTTTTTTTTTTTTTTTTACATTTTTCAGCTGATATTCGGTAATAAGTCCTCAATTTTTCTTTTTTTTTTTTTGGGATTTTTAGTGTGCCAAGACGTTAGGGGTTTGGATGTCAATGTTTTGAAAATTGTAATTTTTTTAGTGGGTTTTTGTGGGAAATTTTTGAGTTAGTTTGGTTGCTGGAAAATGTGGGAAATGAAGAGGAATTTTCGATTTTTGGATTTGGGACATTTTCTGTGCCCAAATTGAAATTTTCATAAAATTTAGCTTAATAGACTCTGTTTTTAGCCTTTTTAAACTGGAATTTATTATTTATATCGGTAGAGAAGCAAAAAAATAATTGTGAGATTTAAAGTATACTTTTTTCCTTAGTAACCAAACAGGGGATTCTTTTTTGTTTTTTTTTGAATGGTTAGTTTTATGAGCAAGTTTGGGTTTTTTCTTTTTTTTTTTGGAATAAATTTTTTTTCTGAACATGTTCAAACTCATGTGGATCTCTAATAATGCAATTTTTGTTTTTTTTACAAAAATTCTAGTCTGGAAAAGTTTTGATTGGTTGAATTCTGTTTGCTTCACTATTTCAGTGAGGAGATTTTGTTTTCTTAGTATATTTTTTCTTATATGGAGAGTGTAACTGTTTTTCATGGTTACAGCTGTTTGCTCATTGTATTCCTTGTGAAGCTTAGGAGATTTTTATTGTGTGTGGAAAATAAATTTATTTTGTTATGTGAAAAGATTGCCTTGGAAAATTTGTGTGTAAAAATTGTGTGGCCACGAATTTGGAAATGTTGAATGAGCCATTGCTTCCAAATGTATTAAGTATTACTTAAATTTTCATATAAAAATTTTCAATGTTGGTGTTTTTAGTGGGGGTATGGTGTTTGTTGCTGAGTGGTAGGGTCTGTTTACCTTGTTATTTTTTGTTAAGTGCAATAACTCTTTTGTTTTGTTATTAATATAGATACTTAATTCCGTTTCCGTAGTCTTTTTGGTATTCCATCCTACAACTTTGGAAGGCCGGGGAAAGAAGTGTTGCCGTGTAAAACATTTACTTTGAATTGGATTGGTTATGGGTGAAGAAGAAACAAAGACTGAAGTCCCTGAGCTGGTGGCTAATGGGACTTCTCGGCTGGGGAAACCTGGTGAAGCTGTAGCTGAGAAAACAGTAGAAGAAAATAATGGGGTAAAGGAAATGGAAGAAGATAAGAAAGATGGTGGAAAAGTTGAGACTGAGAAGATGGATGAAGACCAACAGCTCAAGGAAGGAAAGGAAAGCAAAATAAAACTGGAAAAAGAAGAAAAGGAGGAACCAAAAACTGAAGCAATGGAAGAAGAAACCTATCTGAAAGAAAATGACAAGAAAGTTGAAAAGGAGGAAAACAAAGATGAGGTGGAGGAGAAAATAGATGGGTTGAAAGAAGAAGAGGTGGAAGAAGAGAAGGCTGAAGAGAGCAAGGAGGAAAAAGGTAGAAAGAAGCGTGGGAAAATTCAAAACAGTGGGGAGAAAGTTAAAGGGAAGGCAAGAAAGGTGGAGGAGAAGAAGGAGCCGGAGCAAAGAACTCCTCTCACAGATCGCCCTGTGCGCGAGCGTAAATCTGTTGAAAGGCTGGTTGCATCTATTGACAAAGATGCTTCTAGGGAATTCCAAATTGAAAAGGTTTTTTGCCTTTCTTGCTTGGCTATCCTTTTTTTTCCTAATGATTTAGATGTTTAAATTCTGTATTTTGAAGGTCCATAGGAATTAATAGGTTGCTTTTCATTTGCAGGGTCGTGGTACTCCACTTAAAGATATTCCTAATGGTGTGTTCTTTTTTCGTCCTGTATCACTCATTATTTGTTTAATGTCCTGTATTTTTTATGAAGAAAAACCTACAATAGGGGTGTTTGATCCTGTAGTTGTAAATGTTAACAGCTTATTTCTCCTATCAATGTTTGTCATCGAGTTCATACTCCTTGCATTGTCATCGAAACATTGTACATACAAATGAAATTCAGGATGTTGTTTCTTTAGCTTAATTTTACTTTCTTTCCCTTAAGTATTTCTGCTAAGTTCCTTGAATGTATATTGGCATTCCTTTTCTTTTAAAAGTAAATATGGTTTAGGTATTTGATGTTTGTTCAGAACTATGAGTTAAGTGAAATGGTATCTGCTATGTCATCTTCTGCAGTGGCATTCAAGTTGTCTAGAAGGAAGACTGATGACACTTTCAGACTGCTTCATACTATTCTTTTTGGAAGGAGAGGGAAGGTAATTTGATTGCTTTTGTTTGTTTATATCCAGGATTTTTTATTTCTCGCTTCATTCTCTTAATTTGATGACAAGGGCGTATCAAACTTGCAACTATGCTTAAACAGAGTCTGTTGTGATACATGTGTGCATGAGTATGGGCATGTGTGTTTGCAAAGAAACTACGCTTGGATGGTTTTGGGTTGCTGTAGAAGTACTTTTCTGATTTTGCTTTTAGTTTATGCGGCTTACGTTCCTGGCTCTTGCAGGCAGTTCAGATCAAGAGCAATATATCCCGATTTTCTGGTTTTGTGTGGCATGAAAATGAGGTAAGAGGATTATAAAACTAAGAAGCAGGATTTTTGTTGTATATAATTGATTTTTTCTGTAGGAATTGCAATTTTGGGCTTTAACCTTTTAGGTGCTTGTAGTTTATCTGCTAGTTTCAGCCAGCTATATGGATACCTTGTTTTTGTTGTTATTAATGCACTGTTGTAGATTTTTCTCAGGCTTATTTCATTCAAATGTTGTGATAATTACAGGAAAAGAAAAAAATTAAAGTAAAAGAAAAGTTCGACAAGTTTAATAAAGAGAAGTTGTTGGAGTTCTGTGATGTGCTGGACATACCAATTACGAAGATTACTACGAGGAAGGTTTGTTGATTTACTACTGTGATTTGTTCTTTAATTCTGTGTATATGTTAAGGAAATGATGGTCATTCCATTTTTTTGATTCATGAAGAACATTTTCTTAGTGATAGCTATTCAAAATTCATGCAAATTGATCAATAAAAGCCCCGTGTGTGCATGTACAGTAATATAGGCTTGTTAAAGGGGCTCTATTTCTCACAAAGGATGCAGTAAAATGGCAGGTGGGCAAGCATGTATGTATGTAGAGTTACATATCTATGGGTAATCTTTTCCTTTCTTTTTTATTTTTCTTCTCTAGAAAGCCAACTTTTGTTGTTTTAGCTGAGAAACCCCCATTTAAGTGATTAGTTTTCATAGTTTGGAAAGTACGGAGAATTTTTATCCCTGTTCCTATCTAGGAATGCAACAGTTATAACGAATTAGATCTTGTTACTAGGATTGTGGTTCAATAACGCTAGGGTGAGTTTTGTAGTTTCAGAAGCTCTGATTTTGTATCATCACCCAAGTCCAGTGTCATTTATATTTGGGCTTGTTAATACTACTTTCACATGCCTGAACTGAATAATGATTTTGATGCTAAAGAAGTTAAATATCTCTAATGGTTGTTAATAGGCTTAAAATGGACATGCAGGAAGATATCATTGCAAAGCTGATAGACTTTTTGGAGGCCCCTCATACTACAACTACTGTTCTACTTGCTGAAAAAGATAAGGTTTCTTAATTTTAACTGCAGCTTTTACTAATGTTGAATTTTACATGCTTCATTTCTAACCTATAGTTTCTATTTTATCCAGTCAAGTAACAGTAAAAAGCGCAAAAGGTCAACCAAGTCCGGGACCACATCAAAGCGATCAACAAAGGTATTAATTTCTCCTTGTTGATATCAGAAATATGATATTTCTTTAACCATTGCGGCTTTTTTTAGGCCTTCACCTGTGTTTACCGTGTTTAAGGAAATATTAGTTTTCCATTCAATTAGGTCTCCTATGTATAAATAACTTGTAGAGCTATATGAGACCTTACTATATTATATATAGTTCTTTGGTTGGGGATTTAGATGTCATTACCATATGGTTTTACCATTTTTTTTTACATTCATTTTCTCAGCTATTATCTTTCTTTTTTTTTTTTCTTTGATGTACTATGCAGAGTCGAAGAAAAAGTGATGATACTCCAAAATCAGCAAAAAAGAGTACACCTGATTCCGAGGATGAGTCTGAAGATGAAGAAAAGGAGGAGGAAGAGGAAGAGAATGAAGAAGAAGAAGAAGAAGAAAGTGAAAATGGCGTTACTGAAAAATCTGAGGACAAGATGCCTGAGGATTCTGAAAGTGAGGAGAAACATGAATCTGAAGATGAATCTGAAGATGAATCTGAAGAAGATGTAGGGAAGAGGAAAAAGAGTTCAAAGGTACCATCCAGAAAGAAGGAATCTGCTGGAAAAGCTAAAACCAAGAAAGTCATAGTTCCTAAAAGGTCTACTACACCACGGAAAAGAACTCCAAAAACACCATCATCTAAAAGCTCAAAGGCTGATGAGGACAGTGACAAAAGTCCAAAGGTGTCTTCAAGGAAGAAAACAGAGAAAGTCACAAAAGAAAAGTCCTATACACCAACTAAATCTGCCTCCGAGGAGAAAACCGGTAAGATAGTGGCCTCTTTTCTATTTTCTTTTCTTGTCTGTACTATTTGTTAAGGAAACTGTAAAATGGTTGTTTCTTGTGGCAAAATTTATAAGATAAGCTTTTGGTTATGGGTGTTTATAATGCTATCTTTTCCTGCATATTTTATTAAGGCAAAAAGGTTGCAAAAGGAAAGGACAAAGCTAACGAGGAGAAATTGAAGCCAAGTGATAATGAACTAAGGACTGCAATTTGTCAGATTCTTAAGGAAGTAGACTTCAATACGGTAAGATCTGCTAAAAATATATTACCTATATTGGCTGCATCCATCACTGGACTTTTTTAATAGCATTGTTGGTCTGGTCCTGACTCCAAAGCTTATTGTGGTTTTAAACTAGAAAGTCAGGTTATCAGGACTTTTGGTTCAGTGCTAAATAGGCTACCAGTGGCGAAGCTAGGAAAATTGAAAATGGGGGGGGGGGGGGGGGGCAATAATAAATTCAAGGGAGAAGGGGAGGCTAGGTATAATATATGGTGGGATTAGTTACAATTCTATAACGGGGTAAAAATTTTTTGGGGGGCCGTAGTCACTACCTTCCCCCCATGGCTACACCACTGTAGGTTGCCATGAAACTTATTGTAATATCCACCACCTCCATTTATTGGAAAGTTAAGACAACCTTTGAGGATCATTATTACTTAGTCTGATTGTGTAACCATGAATTGTAACATTCTTAGCTGTTTCATTGAATGCGTTGCTGCTAGTGATGTTCTATTTTGAATCATTTTACTGAAGAATTAGTTCTGGAAATATTTGGCAAAACATTGAAATGCAGTGAGGTTAGCACGTGCTGCCTATCTGCTTCAAATTGCCAGTGTGAAAATAGGCTAAAGTCTTTTCCATCGCTTTGTAGTTTTGGGAACGTTTATAACAAAGACATTGCTTTTGGTACTCAATTTTCTGAAACACGCCATCCTTAATCCTTTTTGGTCAATTTGATTGCAGTAAGTCTCAAGTGTTTTCAAGTTTTATCTAGAATTGCGATTTCTTTTGCTTAAGGGAATTTGAAAATCTTAGTCTCATGTTTTCATTTCCTTGTAGATACTGTTTCTAATATTCTTGCTGACATAAGTTGTATTATTTTGTTTTGCAGGCGACATTCACAGACATTCTGAAGCAACTTGGTATGCATCTTTCACTTTTTTATTGGCACCCACAAATGATTTTTTCACTTATTTGAAATTCTGAAGATAAGTGGTAAAACTTAGTAACATAAATATGTTGCATTTCTTATTAGACTTGGGAATTTTTTCAACTTTTGTTTGTTTGGCTATTTTAACAAAGTAATATAGTAACACATCAAGTGCCCAACAGTGAATTATGAAAACTGATAATGAAAGCCAACCATTTCATTAATTAATTTCATACTTTATAAGGAAATCTTAGTAATTTGCGTACTAAATTTCTTTGTAAACTTTGATGACAACTTGATTTAGAATATGAAATGCCTGTTTTGGGGTGCCGGCCTTATTTTGAGATCTGTGTAAGTTTCTTATATGGATGACCTAATGGAGAGTTTGGTACCTTTCAGCTCAACAGTTTCATACTGACCTCACCCCAATGAAGTCATCTATAAAGCTCATGATTCAGGAAGAGCTTACCAAACTAGCTGACGAAGCAGATGATGAAGATGGAGAAGGCGATGCCGAGAAAGATGAAAATCGGTCTGCTGGTCAAGCTGTTGCAGCTGCCTGACCTAAAAGATGAAAAATAACTCCACAGAAATAGTGTAGTTATTTGTGTCTTGTGCCATTATGTACTTTTAGCCGTTACTTAGAAGCCTAGCTTGTAATTTATTGTTGCTTTTTTTTTTTTTTTATGGGGAAGTTAACATTTATCAAATATTAGAGCTGGAACTACCCATCTGTGCTGCAGGGTTGCAGCTTGATATGTACACCATTAACATAATCTGTAGGAATTTTCCAATCTGAGAACCATGTATTTTAAATTATAGAACCCAGTTTTTCATTTTCCTCTGTAATGCAAACCCTGGTAGCATACTTAATCACTGAGGTGTGCTTTGCTCATGTTACACTTTCACTGCATGATCTTTTGACATATAAGAAGCCATAATCTGGAGATAAAAGAGAAATTATTGCCGAGTGTGGAGAGATAAGGAAAACTATTTCAGATGTTGAGAATCAAATTTTAGATTTGTCTGATATTATTTTTTAAAAATAATTGTATAAATTACAACAAAAAATAACATATTGAGTTTTATATTTCATATTTTGAGATTGGTTGTATGAAAGATCAAATAAAAAAATCAAATTAGGTTGGAGTTTGAGTCTTCTTGCATAACTTATTTGTATGAATGATAATCTTTTCATTTGATTTTTAAATTATTATATTATTTTTTATTATTTGTATTCATATTTTTTTAATTTATCTTTAAAAATTTAATTTTCTCGTTGATATACAATTAGATTTATGTTTCATATATTCAAACTATCACAACAACTCCTATTCTTTCATTTTTTTTTTAATTTTTTAATTTTTGATTTTATTTCTTTTAGTTTTATCATATATTTATTTAAACATTTGGATTTTTGTTATGTTCATTTATTTTTCATGTTATTTTTTAATAATTTAACACTTAATTTCATATAATAATATAAATCTTACAATTATTTTATATAAATTTATTTTTAATTTTAAAAATATCTTACTATCACACTCGATGCACGTACAACATTTGAACTGACAGCACCTTTTGCTATCATCTTTGTTTTCTGTGCTACAGTAACATGAAATTTGGTGAAAGGTGGGCCAGTTGATTTGAAGAGTCACTGATAGCTGAGTTGGTTTCCAGACTGACTCTACCGGACAGAGCTTGAATTTTGTTTGATATTTTGGATACATAGGACCATGACTGACCACCAGTCGCCATGGTCATTAATTGTTGAAATTTTCTCATGCTGCTGCTTGGTATTAGTTTTGTTGATCTCTAGGATTTCTGTTTTAAGGAAACGGTTTTTAACATCAATATGTACTGATATATCACATTTTTAACAAAAACACTGAAGACACAGATGACATTTGGCACTGACATTATTACAAGAACATAAAATTTTTTAATATATGAAGAATTGAATATATATATATATATATATATATATATATAAAATACTCGAAAGGATTGTCGGTGAATATTAAAATAATGCGATGGTATAGTTATATTGGATGTTTTGCTTTGGAAGTTTCTTTTCCATTTGATAGATGTTTTTAACGTGATTTTCAAGTTTATTTTGTGTTCAATTTTATTTACCATTAAAAATAGTTTGAAACAGCGGAATCTTGGTGCGAAACACATTACTATGTGTTTTGTTTTTTCCTTTTTGCTTTTGATTTTTTTATGCGTTTTTTGGTAAATTTTTTTTGGTTTTTTTTTTCTTTAATTGAATGTGGGTTTCGTTTTTTTTTTTTTTTTGGGTTGATTTTGGTGTTATAAACTTTAATTTTGTTTAATGTAATTGAATTGTTGAATGGGATTTGACTTTTGGGTTTTTTATTTTACCTTTTTTGTATTGAACACCATTTTTTTCAATGTTATTTTTTTTATAATATTTGTTGTGAGATTTGCATGTTAGTTTTTTTTTATTTGTTTAAAATATTTATGTAAAATATTTATTATTAGGGTTGAGCAGATATCAGTTCAAACTTATTTATCAATTGAAACCGTCTGAAATGATGTCATGTTCAGTGGTTAGTCCGTTTTTCGTTATAATTTAGTTTTTGAAGATCGTTTTAAATTTGATTAAATTGGTTGGTTATCGATTTTCAAAATTGATAACTAAATAACCGAATTAATCGATTTTATAATAACTAAGGGTAAATATGTATATTCCTTTACAAAATGCCCTAAACTTAATTTACTTTTTGACAAAAAACGCTTTCAATAATCTCATTTAATTTTTTACGATGGATTATTTAAGGCGTTTTTTTACCAAAAACACTTTGAAAATTCCCTCAGAAAAATTAAAGGAGATTATTTAAGATATTTTTGACCACAAACAGCTTCACTAACCCCCCATTTAATTTTTGATAAAGAATTATTCAAGGTTTTTTTTTTTTTCAAAAATACCTTCAATAATTACAAAAAAAAAAAAATGAGAAGAGACTATTGAAGGCGTTTTTAGCTAAAAACTCATTCAATAATCCCATCAAAAATTTGAATGGGATTAGTCAATGCGTTTTTGGTCGAAAACGCTTTAAATAATCTCATACTATTTTTTTTAAGGGATTATTCAGTCAGAAATGCTTTGAGTAATCCCATTCAATTTTTAATATTTTTTTTTTTTTTTCAAAAACGTCTTTAATAATCCCATTCAATTTTTTGCATGAGATTATTCAAGAATTTTTGCCTTGAATATTACCCTCATAAAAAATTAAAAATTTAAGTGATTGTTTAAGGTGTTTTTAACTACAAACGTCTTCATTAACTCCATTCAATTTTTTATAAGGAATTATTCAAGGCGTTTTTTCTCAAAAACACCTTCAAAAATGTAAAAAAAAAAAAGATAATTGAAGTTTTTATCAAAATCCTTATAATCCCTTAAAAAATTGAAGGAGATATCATTTTTTCAAAACCTTTATACTCATTCAATTTTGAATACTATTCAATTTTTTCTAGAAACTCTTTAATAACTATTCATTTTAACCTTATCAAAACTTTGATAAAAATCAAAAAATATTCATATAAAATTTAAAAAGATCAATGTGTTTTTGGCCAAAATCACCTTAAATAATCTCGTCATAAAATTGATAGGAATTTGTCAAGGCATTTTTTTACCACAAATGCCTTGAATAACCCAATTAAATTTTTAATAAGGATTATTAAAGGTATTTTTTGGCCAAAAAATACCTTCAATAATCCTCTTTAATTAAAAATTAGATTATTTAAGTTACCGTCATATATGCCAAGGGATTATAATAATTATTTAAGATTTAATATATATAGATTCTCCCTATCCAAACGAGTGAATTGAATATGAGATACCCTAAAAATAAAAAAAAAATCTTAGGTATCACATTTTCTCGAAGATCACACTTTTTATAACTTATTTTTTAATTTATCAAGTTTAGATAAGTATTTATTTATCTTTTTTCTTGTAAAATGTAATTGAAATTATTAAGTTCTTTGGTGATTTAGTTTGAATGATATGTGAATTTAAGTTTTATTAGATTGAATTTGTAGCTAAATGATTATTTTAAATAAAAAAATGATTAAAAATTTGATTATTTAACCGAACTAATCAAACCGAACCAATTTTTGGTCGGTTCGATTACTTATAGAATAAAAGTTGGTTATTTTGGTTATTAATTTTTTCAGATCGAACCAACCGATTGCTCACCCCTATTTATTGCATGATGCATGGATGATAGTTGGATTAGGTTTTTTTGTAGATTGGTTTGTGTTTTTTGTTTAATTACTATTGCATGTTGGTTTTTATGTGGTTGTTTTGGTTTTTTTTAACACAGATTCACACTGGTTGTCTTGGTTTTTTTGTAACAAAAAAAATTAAAGAAACCAAACATGCAACTCAGATTCACAATGATTGTTTTTGTGTTTGTTTAAGTTGAATGAAATTTTGTTTTGTTGGTTTTGAGTTTCATTTTTGTGTTTGGATTTGACATTTTGATCTTTTTATTGACCTGTGTGTTATATCTATGGATCCTTTTTCTATTCTTGGATTTTTTTTTTTTGTGCAAGATTTTAGTTTTTGTTTTTTTCATAGCCTTTTTGTAAAAAAGCTTCCTTATCATATCTTTAATACTGGAGTGCTTGCCCATAGTGTAGCACTGATTTAAATAACGTGGCCCTAATCCTGAAATCTCATTTATGTTCAGTAGCTGAATCTGTTGATGTTTTACTAGATTACTGCAACGTTTTACTAAACTAGACTTTACTGCTAGTACCTTTATTTAAATGTTTCTTAGGAATATAGTTGATCTTGGTTCATATTAAAGACTGGTGATATTGCTATCAAGTCATAAGCTTACACATTATATTTGCTTTCATTAGTCTTCCTACAAAACTAGGGGCTTGCAATGGCAGCATGATTTGTTTGAAGCTAACCTTAGAGCTGCTAGGATATCAGGAGTAAAAGTTGGCACCAAGTTATATGTGTCCAACTTAGATCATTAAGTCTCAAATGAAGATATCAAGGCAAAGTGATACCTTTATTTATGATTTTAAGTGTAAATGAGTTTGTCTTATTTTTTGGTGAAATACCCTGTTAACTTTATGTACATTTTTTTTTTAAATAGGGGTGCTTAAAAGATATGCAGTTCATTATGATAAAAATGATCAACCAAGTGTAGGTTTTGTGCTTTATACTAATTGCTTGAAATATTTGTTTTCATTATCTCTCAGCATGGATCATTGGTGGTTTTGTTACTATAATTTAAGATGTTCAAAAGGTGAGAAGTTGCTCAAGTGAACAAAACTTTGTTGGATTTTTAATAAATGAGACTAATTTTTATAAAAAAAAAATGATTTTGGTTTGTTTTAGTATAGGAGGATTCTGTTCTTAATTCTAGCATGGTTCTAATATAGGGAAATGAAGGTATTATCCTTTTAAAAGTTTAAATTTTTTTTTTTAGTTTTCTTTTTCATGTGATTTTATTATGGGTTTGCATGTTAATTCTGATTTTTTTATGCTTTTTTAGCCAACATAGTGGCAAAGCTAATAAGGTGTCGAAACAGTCAATAATTCTTATAGTGAAAGTTGAGGCTTTAGTATGTTCATACTATCTGTCATTTGAAAGTCATCAGGTCAATTTTCAAATATATAGTTGCATATATTGTCTATGTCATTCTTTACTCTATTGTTTATGAGGTGAGATATTGTTTTTTTCTTTAATCCCAATCTAGGATACGTTGGCTCAAGCTATTGCAGAAGAAATGCAAAAGGTTTACAAGACTGAGTAAGAACTTCAGCTAGTTCCGTTAACTGTTTTGGGGAAAGTGGTTGATGAAGATGATGTGAATGTTTGTTGTTCTATTCATCTATAATTTATTCTTCATCCTTATAATCACTAACAAATTATGGTTATGAATTCTTATGACATTTATTATAAACTTCATAAGTGGAAATATCGACAATACCATTCTTTTTTTGGTAGAAATATTTTATTGAGGCAAATGATGAAAATGATGTGAGATGAATGATGAGAATTTGAGTGAGAAAAATCTGTTATCGAGAAAATGTTAGTTAATTTTAGTATAATGTCCATTGTTTTTATTGAATTGTTTATGTGTTTATGTTTTTCTTTGTAAAAAGAAAGTTAACTTTATACTGGTCGATCTCCTAAAACAAATTTGTTACTAATAATCACTCAAAAAAAGGTGATTATTATCTTTTTTCAATGATCACATATAACACTTTCAAAGTTATCATCTATTGTGACTATGAATAAAGTTATTCGTACATGTCTTGTAACTTCGAATTTAACCTAACTATTACAAAATTATTATATAAGTTATGTTTTCTAACAGGTTTGTGTTAACTAAAGTAGTTATAAGAGTTTAGCTTTCTAATAGGGTTGTATTACTATCCAATTCTTATAAAATTAGTAATTAACAATGTTAACTTTCTCTTAAATTATTATTTTATATTAATTACATATATCACTTTAATTTTTAAGTCAAATAAATATCAATTTAATAAATAGTAAAAATTATTCTTATATCAAACTGAGCGAAGTCAGTCCAACACTAATTAGAATTAAAGGAAAGTTGCTCCATTAATTAGTGGGCCACTCACTCACTCTAGCTATCAATTTTAGAACCCCATAAACATAAAAAAAAAAAAAGATTGGATTAATTAAAGTAGATGATACACACTTTTATCTAACACTAATAATAAATCTTTTTTAGCAATTGAAGTTTGAATTATTCAGAGGCTAAAATTAGACAAATTAAAATGGTTTTTTTTTTTAAAAAAAAGGATAAATCCTTAAAAAAGTAGTAAATATTGAGAAGAAAAAATATTTTTGTAAAAAATATTTCAAAAATAAAAATTTAAATGTATTAAATGGATACAAAAAAATAAGGATAAAAAAATTATCAAACAAAAATGCAATAATCATTTAAGTTATTGACATTTTATTATAATTAATTAAGTCCTGAATCTTTTACTTCGAATCAATTGAACCCTTAAACATCTATTTTTTTTTCAAATTGAGTTCTTACACATTTATTTTCACTCATTAAGCCCTTAATTAAAAAGAAACAATTAACCATTTTTTCTCTAATTAATAAAAACTCAAATAATAAAATATTTGAGAATTTAATTAATTACAAAAATAAAAAAAATGACTTGGATGATTATTAAATTTAAATTCAAGTGCTTTTTTTATCCTTCTACCAAAAATAAGATAGTTCCAAAAAAAATTAGGGATACCTTGATCGTATTATCAAAAACTTATCTTAAAAAAAATGGGACATGAATCATTAAATCCAAAAAAGAAAGTCTTAAAATCAAAATTAATGACATTAGAAAACAACAAAGCAATAAAAAGAATTACAAATTTTTTATAAATAAATTAGTACCATTAGAAAATTAAACTCGTTGAATACATGAAATAAACATGTTATTGGAAGATTAATAATAAACAATGGGTGTTAGACAATAAGTCAAACTCAAATCACTTTCAAAATTTTATTTAATAATAAATTTGTTATTTTCTAAGATATTTTTAAGCCATCTCAACTAACAATTATGACTTTGCCGGGGGAAGTTTAATTATATGGTTAATTATAATTTAACTTTAATAAATTAATTGTCTTTTACGACTTTTACTAATGCTTCATTTAGATAGTAAAAAAAATGGATTAAACTAATAAAAAAGTTCTTAAATTGTATTATTTTACTTAAAAATTATTATAATTTCAATATATATATATATATATATATAAGAAGAGAAAATTTTTTACTTGTTATTAAAATTCAATTTTTTTGCAAAAAATACCTTAAAAGTAAAAAAAAAATTATATAAAAATTACAATTTTAAAATAGTTAAACAAAAGATTAGATTTAAGCAAAACTTTCTTATTATATTATATAAAAATTTATTAGATGAAAAACTTTATATTTTTGTTTACAATAGTGTGATTAGTAAAATGTTGAATTCTTAATGGTCACAGTCAAATCTTCACATATTAACATAAAAAAAAATGAAAATGATTAACCTCTCTTTCTCTAATCAAGATCAAACATTATATTCTTTTGCCAACAAAAAAAAAACAAAAAGCTAGATCCATCCTTAATTTCTAGTCCTAAGATTCATGATATTAGTTCAATGAATAAAGTAAAACGAGAAGGAGAAAATTTACATAAAATTTTTTAGATAAAATTTATGAAAATTTTAAAAAATAATTTAATAAAAATTTTAATAAAAAATATAAATTGATATATTGAAAAAATTTAATGTAAAAATTAATAATATATAAACAAAATCAAAAATATTATTTATAATTCAAATTTGATCAATATACTTATTCAATTATAAAAATTCTATCAATATTTTTACTAAAAATATTTATTTAAAAATATATATCAAAATTTATTAAAATTTTTTTAAATTTACACATTTAATTTATATAATAAGACATTTTAATTTATTGATTTTGATTTTTTATTTTAATTCTTATTTACTTAGTTTTAGTTGAGAACTTCGCAAACTTAAACTAAAAAATTTCGATTAAATTTTTCCCGAAACAATAATACCATATGTCCACCTTCTCCTTTCATATATTTTTTTAATAAAAAATTCAGTGTTAATAAATTAAAATAAAATATATCATACTCGAAAACTTAAAAATAATAATAATAAATTATATATTAGAGATAATTTTAATAAAATTTTATTAATTAAACTCGGATCTAAAATTTTTACGTAAAAAAAAAAATGATCTTCCCAATTGTGCCTACCTCTGGTAGGTACGTCTCTACAGTTTTATCACTATCAAAATACCAAATCTCTCTAAGTCAAGTGATCACTCTCAAAAAGTCAAGATCTCAATATCTTTTACTCTCTCTCTCTGTCTGGTTCCATTTCAACAAGCTTCTAGACCGTTTCCCTATTTTCCTTTTATCACCCATAAAACCCTATCAAAAGCTCACCGAAAGCTAACAAAAGAGAGAAACCTACTACTCAGCTTAAACCACGCTTTTTCACTGCAAAAATCCCATATTCGGATACCCTTTTAAGGGTTTTCTCACCCCTCCAAATAGTAGTGAAGAACAGCCATGGCAGAGTCAGACACTGAATCAGGAGGAGCTCAAAACAACGTTTCAAACGCAACAGGGAACAGCGACCTTTTGTCCCCGAAAGAACAAGACAGGCTCTTGCCTATAGCTAACGTGAGCAGGATCATGAAGAAAGCTTTGCCTGCTAACGCAAAGATATCGAAGGAAGCTAAAGAAACGGTGCAGGAATGTGTGTCTGAGTTCATCAGCTTCGTCACAGGAGAAGCGTCTGATAAGTGTCAAAAGGAGAAGAGGAAGACTATAAACGGTGATGATCTGTTGTGGGCCATGACGACGTTAGGGTTTGAAGACTACGTGGAGCCTTTGAAGGTTTATTTGCAGAGGTTTAGGGAGATGGAAGGAGAGAAGACTGCGATGGCACGTGATAAAGACGCGCCTCTTGCTGGTGGCGTCGCCGGTGGCAGTGGGATGTATGGGATGATGGTACATCAGCATCAAGGACACGTGTATGGTTCCAGTGGGTTTCATCAAATGGTAAGTGGGTTGGGTAAAGGTGGGCCGGGGAATAATTTGGGTGGGCCGAGGTAGTTTCTCATCTGTCATCATCTGACACGTGTATGGTTGTTATGAATTTGATAAAAGATCTGGTTTTGATATGTTTGAGCCAACGTGAAATTGGGTTGGACCAGGTAAGTCCATCAGTTTTGTTTGGTATCTTGGGCCTGTTGGTAGAATTCTGGGCCATGGAACGGGACACGTGTACGGTAGTGATTGTGCTTTATATTTTGTAATTTGTACTTCCTTTTGAATATACAATGAAGTTTTAGAAAAAGATTTAAATGAAAATTTTTGGATGAAGTAAATAAAGATTTTTTATTAGAAATGATTAAATTAAAATTAAAATTTAAAGTTAAAATTAATAAATTGAAAGATTATGTTACATGGATTAAAGGTTTAAAATTTGAAAAAAAAATTATAAATTATAATATATTTTTTAGATAGATATTTTAAAAAAATATTGGTATAATTTTTTCAGTGAATAAGTATTAATTAAATTTAAATTATAAATAATATTTTTAATAATTTTTTATATATTATTGATTTTTACATTAAATTTTACTAAATTATTAGCATGAATTTTTTATTAAAATTTTTGTTAAATCATTTAAAAAAAATCACAAATTTCATTTAAAAAATTTCATGTAAATTTTATCTTGAATTCTTGAAATATGATCTTATCTTAGGACTATTACCTTTAGTTGATTATACATTTTTGAATGGGAATTCATGGCCATAAGCATATTATAAAAATGATGATCAATTTGAATTGTTCTTGTTTAAGGCATGTGCAAGTTTTACATATTGCATTAAAATAGTTCTAATTGAATAATTATGACAATTGTGATTGTAATTTATAAATATAGATGAAAATTATATGATCCTATTTATAAAATTATTTAGTTTGAATTGTAATTAATTGCTATATGAAAATTTCATTTTAGTAATAAGAGATTAAATAATGTGATAATTGTTCCAATCACCATTAAATTTGAATTATTTATCGGTTGTGAGTTTCTTGAAATTTTTTAATTTTGAATTGGATCCCTTTTAAAGGAATCTTGAAATTAAAAAATTACCTAATTATTCGAATCTTTGTTGTGAAATCTATAAATTATATGCCCCTTGATTGAATCATAAGCACTTGTTCACTTTTGTTGATTCTATCCCATGGTAGTATACATGTAAAACTTGATGGAGCCTTTTTAAAATATAATCTAAACTTAGATGATTCATTAATTAAACCTTAATATATTAAAATTTAAATTTTAGATTTGTTGAATAACATTTTTTGAAAACTACCGATATGAATCAATAAAATTGAATTTCAGATTTTACATACATTGCTTACAAATAACTGAAATCATGACAAACACTCTCAATTGTCATCAACAAGGCTGTATCAAAACAAGGGTAAGAGAAACGAAACACCTTGAAAGATCTACTGGCCATCTATCATGCCTACAAATGAAGCATCCTCTTGATGTTAAGCCCTACAATGGATGTTGGCAATCTGGTGAACCCTAATCCTACCACAAGAATCGGCTTCTTTGTTAGTGGGTGAAACTGTTGCCCCCACCGGGTTCCCCATTTGTGTGTGCTAGAGTGCTTGTAAATTCATTGGTAAACCTCTACAGTAAAGCACATTATTCGGATATTTCAACCACTACATTGTGGGTCATGGGTGGGTTTATAATTAGGGATGTAAATGAAGAAAATGTTCGATGAATAATTCGTAAATATTTTTAATTTTTATTTATTTATATTTATTTAATAAATTTAATAAATAATCACAAGTAATATTTTAAATTTTATTAATTAAATAAATTATAAATATAATAAAATTCATTTATATTTAATTAAGTGTTTAATGAACAATTTAAAAATAAACTTATTTTTTGTTTATTTATATTAATTTATTAAAATTAACAAACAATTACGAGTAATATTTTAAAAAAAATTTAATTAAATAATCGATTATAAATATAATAAAATTTATTCATATTTGATTCAATTACACTCTTAATTATAATTAACACGAGACAATAAGTTAAGGCTTAGTTCGGAAGCAACGTGTTTCTAGTGTACAAGAATTTCATTTTAATAATGAATTGATTTGGGTTCAAGTCGTTTTGACATCCGAGCATGATGGATATTCTATTTCACTGCAATTTCAAATACATTCTAAACTAAAATGAAAAAAAAAAAAATTCAATAAACAATCAGAACAAAAAGAATACTAAAAGTCCTATAGCAACAAATTGTACGTCTTTGCTTTCTTTAAGCTTACTAGTTTTCAGGTTGTTTCAATGCAAAGTACAGCTAATATCAACTGAATGTTTGAACCCAATTCCTAATATTCTGCAACTAAAGGTTGAATTGGATAGATAATGAGATCATTTTGATGAAATTAAAAATATTGATAGAGATAATATTAATTATTATAATAATAAAATTAAAATAAATAATAAAATATATATTTAGATTTAAATCAGTAATAATGATGATATAGATTATAGTGAAAAAGAAAATAATCATTAAAAATTTTAAAATAAAATTATATATAATAAAAATTTTACATTGTCTAATATTTATAAATTTATTAAATAATTAAAAATATTAAATTATTTTTAAGTCAAATAATAATTTTATTAATAAATATTTAAAGTTTATTTATTATTTCATAATTTTAAACAAAAACTAAAATGAAAAAATAAAAAAAAAATTGTAAGGACAAATTTGTCTTTATAACTTAATTTGAAAGGTATAAAAAGAAAAACATACAAAGAAGCAAAAAAACAAAATACTTCCATGGGTCATCAGCACAAATCTACTCACATTTATAATAGATACTTTTTTTTTCCATCTCAACTTTAATTTTCAATTTTACCCCACCTTTTTTTTTTTTTTTAATTCTTGAAATACAATTTACGAATCTTGATTTTTTCTTTTTTTTTTTTTTTTCATTCAAAAAATTTTAATAATTAATCTTGAGGTATAGTATAGGGACAAAATAAGTTAACATTTTTTTTAATTATTTATTAATTTTATAAATATTAAATAATTAAATATTTTTAATACATACACATTTTAATTTAATGCTTTAATGGTTATTTTTTTATCTCGGTATAATTTACCTCACTATTATCGTTGTTTTTATAACCAAATACATATCTTACCATTGATTTTAATTTCACCACTATAATAACCAATTTCATTGTTATAGTAACTGATTTTATATTTATTACTGTTTTGAATTTTATCAGAGTCAATCTCATTGCCTATTCAAATATCATCTAAGCTAATTTCATTAGAGCCAATTTTACTAGAATCAATTTCATCACCAATCTAAACACTAATTTGGTTATCAAGGCCACCTTGGTTATTTAGATTTTCTATTTTTAGATCACATTTTTAAAATTTTTAGTTTCGCATTGAATTCAATTTATGATCAATTATTGTTTTATAATAATAAAATTATTGGATGGATTTTTTTATTTTTTAAGTAGAGTTAAATGTTAGATTCTTTTTAGAAAACAATTTTGCTTAAGAAAATAATATTTTATTTTAGATTAAATGCTCAAAATTTGATTTTACTTGCCATCTTGAATAGTAATAAAAATGGTTCATAAAATGCAAATTATGAGCAGATTATTTTTTTATAAAGAGATCTCAGTTTGAGAATAGAGGAAGGATTATAGGTATTAAGAGTTAAATTTTAAAAAATTATTAAATGTCACATTTTAAAAATGATTTTATGAATCAAGTATTTTAGATTTTAGGTAATTTGGTTTTGAGCTCATGTATTATTATAGTTTAGTATCCGTGTTAGCAACATTTTGGTTGTTATTGATGATTTAAAGAGTGAAAAATAATATTATTTCTAAGGTTATAAAATACATATATATATATAAATGCATAAATAGGTTTAAAGCCTATGAGATATATCTGAAAATAAAGCCCAACCTTATAAGTTAATTAAACATAATATACATTTTAACAGCCCCTTTCAAATTGAAGATGGTTTGAAATGAAACATCTGAAGTTTGAAAACTAAATAACAAAAACATGAACTTAAAAGAGACTTTGTAAAAAGATCCGTCACTTGTGATTTAAAAGAAATATGTGGTAACATGATGGTGCCTTTGCGTATATCCTGTCTAATAAAATGATAATCTATTTCAATATGTTTCGTTCGTTCACGAAAAATATCATTTTGAGTTATTTGAATTGCACTTTTACTATTACAAAAAGTAAAATAGGAGTAGGCGTGTCAACACTTAAATCCATAAGTAACCGATTACAACCACATAATTTCTGTTGTAATATCTGATAAAGGTCCATACTCTGCTCTAGCACTTGAACACGCCACAACTATCTACTTTTTTCTTTTTTAAGATATCAAAGAATCACCCAGAAAAGCACAATAACTAATTGTAGAACGTCGATCATTAACATTACCAGCCCAATTAGAATAAAAAAAAATACAAAGTGCAAGTTTAGAAGTTGATGAAAATAACAAACCTTTATGCAGTGTTCCTTGCAAAAATCTCAATATCTTAAGAACTACAGCAAAGTGAATTATCCAAGGTGCTGTCATAAATTGGCTTACTATTTGAACTGCATAACTAATATCAGGTCTTGTAACTGTCAAATATGTAAGACTACCAACCAATGTCTATTCAAAGTAGCATTATTGAGAAGTTTTCCATCGTAGCTTTTATTTTGACATTAATTTCAAAAGGAGTGCCAACGGTTTTATTATCAAATAAGCCAGTTTTAGAAATAAGATCAGAAGCATTTTTCACTTAAGACAAGACATATCCATGAGAGAAACAATCAACTTCAATTCTCAGCAAATATCATAATGGACTAAGATCTTTCATCTCAAAGTTTTACTAAGACGATTTTTTATATTCTGAATACCAAGGTTATCATTTTCAATTATCACCATATCATCAACATAGGGAAGCAAAAATACAATACCTCTTTTAGATCAACGAATAAACAATGATGAATCATAATGACTCTACATAAATCCAGAGTCAGGCATAGTAGTGCTAAATTTTTAATCCAAGCACGCATTGCTTATTTAAGACCATATAAAGCTCATCGAAGCTTACACACTTGATTAGTTTGGTAAGACAATTTACGAAGATGTTTCATATAAACTTTTTCACGAAGATCTCCATTCAAGAAAGCATTTCTTACATGCATTAGTGATAAAGCCGATCTTGAATAAAAGCAATAGCTATAAGAGTTCAAATAGAAGTCATTCGAGCTACAAA